GACACTTGAAGAGGTTGCCCTGAGAGGTAGTGGAGGCCCCATCCCTGGAAGCATTCAAGGCCAGGTTGGATGGGGCTCTGAGCAACCTGATCTGGTTCGGAGTGTCCCTGCTCACTGCAGGGGGGTTGGACTAGATGACCTCTAGGGGTCCCTTCCAACCCAAAACATTCTATGATTCTATACATTTGAGTATCACATTTCTATTTGAAATTCTTCTCTACACACTGTGGTTCCCAGTGCCCCATTTTCACTTTGCCCAGGAAGCCCCTTTCACCGGTGCTGAGCGCCAGGGCCATCAGCAGGAGCAGATCTCTGCTGACCGTCACAGAAATCATGACAGGAGCCAGTTGCCCTCCAGGCTGTTACAGGCCATAAGCTCGGACGGCGCTTGAAGGCAATTTCGTTCATCCAGTCCAGTTAATGGCAATGCCTGCACACATAGTTTTAAAGCTCCAATTAACCCCGGTATGCAAACATGGATTCCATTCTAAATGTGTTCAAGCCCCTTTTGACTTCAAGCAGACGCAAGCATGTGGGTAATTGCTTCCTTGACAGGAGCAAAATTATATACAAGCTTGATTCTGAACATATGCAAACCCAAAATATCCAATTTATCCTCCATCTGGTCGTTAATCTTCAAAAATACAAAACTCTCAGATAGATAGGTTAAGAATTTTTTCTTATTTCTTGTATGTGCACATAAGAAAAAGGAACATATGCACACTTTGCCTGATTTTATTACGATCTATATGCACAAATATAGCTGCTATAAGGTTGCTCATCCATTATTTTAAATAACTCAGCAGGTTCACAGTCACAGAACTGATAACGCTTGACTTACTGAAGAAAAAAATTTTATTTACTCTTACAAAATATTCCGAATAAATTCAACTCTGAAAAGATTTTTTTCTGTGTCCTAGGTATCTACAGAGGTCAGTATACCGGGCTGAGGGCATCATAAAGCCTCTGTGCAGCCAGTTCCACCATTTCACGAAGGGATTCATCATCTTCGCTTCCTGGCTCACAGTCAACTGTCTGGGAACAAAAAAAGCAGCACGTTAGAACAACTAGCCCTTCATATTCCTTTTCAGCATGTGAAGTATGCTCATAAGGGGAAAGGAAAAAGTAGTCATGCAAATTGAAAAGAAAGATATAAAGAGCAGCACTGTAGATTTTAAAAGGGTCTGCCAACACGTAGAAGAGTTCAGAGGAGACTTATGCAAGTCCTGCTGAGGAACAAGAAGCTTAATCTCAAGTTTTATGTTTGATTAATAACTTGTTTCAAAACTACTATGTAAAATGCATTAAGTTCTGCAGATTACATTTAATTCAAAATCAAATAAAACCATACAAGGTTGAGTCCTTGGAGATCTCATTTGATTTGTGAATTCACCCGCACTGTATTAGGTTAATACTGTAAAATGTGTGCATTCATCACAGAGGTACAGGCATCTATAATCTAGGAGTCTCCACATCGACGTTCCCACACCTATAAGGTAACATTTACATCAAAATAAAACCCTGAAGAGATTAATTTATCACTAAAAGAAGGCTCCCTAGAGAAAGATGCCCACCCCAACCACGCAAGCTCATCAACATGCAACCCAAGCCCCTGACCGCTCTATCTCAAAAACAAATGGCAGCATTTGCTTAGTAATACTATTCTTGATCCGAAGACTGTACCTTCTCTAATTCAGTGTTAACTTGTTACTCTTCCCAACAAGTAACTCCCTTCAACCATAAAGGGTTTTTTTGGGGGGAGGAGGGAAGGCATTTGAAACAGCAAAGATGCATTTAATGTTATCTAACAATGCTGTTAAAAGCACGTTAACTGCAAGAGCACCATGGTAAGAGCTAATGTGGAAAAAATAAATCCACGTGTCCCACCACACAGTCAGATCTATACTAAACAGTTTTTTATTTTAAAGCTATGGAAGTTTTGTAAGAAGACACATATGCACGCAAAGAAGGACAGATCTTTCTCCTAACACTGGGTTCACAATGGCACAAGCTTGCCGTTGCCAACATGGCATGTAAAATGTGTGTTACAAAGACACACACTGTTGCAGTTGAGTTGCCATCAGGGTCTCCATCAGTACACAAGTCTTCTAACAATAATTACATATATCGATGTAATATTACATGAAAATGAAACCTAACCTATTGATCGAGCAGTATGCATTTTTTCCAGTCTTGTTACTTTTTTCTCTATTGAAAGAGCTCCTTTCATCAGTCCTGTGTTTTTCTGTACTATGTATACATGGCAATGTAGCACATGTTTATTAAAAACATGAAAAAAGATGACACAGCAAGCATCGTGTGTTAAGCACAAAACTGTAACTCGCTATCCTCTTACGATAAC